GAATGACTACTTGTGAGATGCTTCTGATTCCTTCGCTTGAAATTTGGTGTTCACCCCAGAGGCCTTTACCTGCTGGGCGTGGTCCTGCACACCTGTGACCCCAGCACCCTAGAACCTGTGCAGAAGAGTTGCAAATTTGAATCTCACCCAGGAAACCTAGGATCTTAGCAAGACCCTGTCTCCAAAATTAAAAAATGGCCAGGGATATAACTCAGTGCAAAGGCCCTGGTTTTGATCCCTAGTACTGAAAACAAAAACAAAAACTTACTGAGTTTTAGGCTGTGAACACACAGGTAAAATATTTGAGTCTTGAATCTCTTTCTAGCTCAGACCTTTTCTTTGCAGTGTCCACACATCGTCGAGATGGGCAGTTCACAGGTGTGGAGCTGCATGTGGCGGGTCAGCCCTTCCTGTTTCAGGGGAGGCTGGGCAAGTGTGGTCCTGTGGAAACTGATCCTGTTTTCTGAAAGGAGCTCACTTCCTCTGGCAATGACAGGTCCAACACTGCTGAGCTGGGGATTGGAGGTTTAGAGGGAAGTTTCCACCCCTCCTGGAAAGCAGGGCTTGGATTGCAGGGAATAAGTTCTGGGAGTGAAGTGGAGCTCAGCCCTCCTGGACTTTGCAATAGGAGAAAATGAGAGCTAAGAGTTGGTTCAAATGTGGAAGTTTTGTAGAGTTTAGAAAACATTTTAATTTTAAAAAAATTGGGGTGCCGAGGGCGATCCCTGCAAAGATCTGAAACCCCAGATTCAATTTAAATGCACAAAGAAACCCTCCCAGGGCCGGACCTCTTGGCTGGAGTCGGTTCCTACACATGCTTTCGGTGTAGCATCCAGGTGAAGCGGTGGGGCTGGATCTCAGAACTGAGAGCTCTGTCCCTTCAGCGGCAGGAACCCGTTCCAGGAACAGAAACAGGGAGAAAGACTTAGGAAAAGCCAAGGAAGAAAAACACCAAGATTTCCTCATCTTTTAATCATGGAACTTAGCAAAGCAGAATCTCGGCCTTCTGGAGGTTACTGAACAAGTTTCATTCACTCCCTTTCCCCGCGAAGGGCCCAGAGAGTCTGCACGGCACGTGATCTGGGAGGTCACATTGGAGAAGGCGCAGTGAGCACAATGGTCGCCGTGCCCAGCTCTGGAGTTCCTAGAGCAATTACAACAACACACTGATGAGGGGACGTGGAACGCTGGGGTTTCCCAAGAGCAGGGGCAGGGCCCCTAGAGCGAACACAGGGGATCTCAGGCAGGGAACTCAGGGACACTTCCTGGGGTGATGGTCCAAGGGATCAGGAGGAAGAGGAAGGGACCAGACGGAGAGAGGTGCTGGGAAGTGGTGAAGAGCAGGGCCCACCAGGCCTCCCGTGTGGAACAGAACCCACATGGGGGGCTGCTCCCAGCAGGGACTCTGGTGAGGTGCAGGGATGACTACATCAAGGGAATGCCACACAGGCAAACCTTTGTCTCAGAATCCACAAAGATAAGCTCTGGGGCTTAAAGTAACAGAGGTTATATTGGCACTGATACCTGCCAGTCCTGAGGTGGTAATGGTGCCTTTGGCTTATTTACATTTCAGGCTTTGTTTTTTTCTAATGGATAATGCATTTTTGCATATTTTTAATCATAATAGAATTTAAATTTAAAATGTCAGTAAAAAGCTGAACAAGTGATGCTCATTGCAATTTCGTTATTCATTGTGTAACTCTGTAGAGAATGAAATTATTAATAGAATCAATAATATATAAATTAGATTTCCTATTGTAGTACTTACAGTAAATGACCTAGTTTATCCCAAGAGCAAGGCTGAATGTGCAAAACAGGCCATTCGTGAGTACTTCACACTCACTGGTAAAAACCGTCAAGGTGCCAAGAGGATTATTAGCAGATGAATGCAGAATTTGGAGAATTTTTATTTGACATTTTTCTGGACTACTTACGAATACCTGGTGCTTACAACATGCACCAGGAGGTCGTGATAATTTATTTTCTGATTTGAAAGCAATGCCATGAATTGAAAATTTATAATAATTGCCTGGCTGACCACACACTACTATAGAAGTGGGTCTCCAAGTGGCTATGACATACTCGCTCGCTAGTACACACTTAGCCGGCTTCCCCTGCTTGTGTGAAAGACACTCACCGGGAAATGTTGGAAACGTGCCCTCGGTTCACTGTGTGCTTCTGGGACTCCTCCTCATGCACAAGGCCAGGGGTATTCCAGCGGGTGTGCATGCCCACACCCTAATCAATGCACCTGGTCGTCCCGTGAGACCAGGGCGCCCTTCAGAACCAGCCTCCCTCTGTGTGCTCCCAAAATGCCCTTGAAATGCCTTGTCTCTCAGCTCCCCAGGGAGGATGCCCTCATCGGTCCTTCTGACCTCCAGAATCACCGTTGGCTAGGACAGTGACTTTCAAAGCGAGGTTCCTGGACCGACAAGAACCCTTGTAAACCAATTATCAACGTTGTCATACTCAATCCCGAGAGACTATAGAAAATCGCCACCACTTGGAGTCGAATTTGAGTCCTTTACTTTCAGCTGGCGGTGGAGAGTGGCTCGGGCTGGGAAACTCTTAACAAGGAAAAGCGGCTTGGGGGTTTCTTTTAAGGGGCTCTTATAATTGGGGAGGGCTCAGGGAGAGGGTGAGCACAAGCAGAATTTCATAGCAGCAGAGCTTTGCTAAATTTTGCTACTGTGGCCCTACTCCACCTAGAAGGGTCGTGGGAAAGTCCTGTCCCCACTGCAGATGGGGTGTGGAGGAGAAGAGGCACCGAGAGTGTAAGCACGGGGTGCTGGGAAGGGCATCTGGAGCACCCTCAAGGAAGGACAAGGTACAAACTGTGAGCAGGGAGGAAGGCTGGGGTCAGTGCTGGGTGGTTCTGGAGCTGCACCTGGAGCTCCACAGGGAGGAAGGCTGGGGTCAGTGCTGGGTGGTTCTGGAGCTGCACCTGGAGCTCCACCTGCCTGGCCACTCTCATTTGTCCTCCACTTCCTCCACTACAACAGGAGCTGCGCCTCTTCTCACAGAAGAGGACAGGGAGGTTCTCAGAGGCAGAGCTCATCCCCAGCCACATGGCAGAGACGTGTCAGAGCCAGGACCGGACTCCTGCAGTCCGCCTGTGTCCGCTGAGGCTCTGCTGGGTTGGGTTCTGTGCTGGCCTTGGTCTGCACAAGGTGTGCCCCAGCCTGAGGACTCCCGGTGGGGAGCCATTCATCCATTCATTCACCTTTGTCATGCATTCCTTTCCACGTGTGTGAGCGGTGTGGGACAGCTGCCGTGAGTCTGTGTTCTCCCAAATTTCCATGTGGAGGTTTCAACGCCGGGACAGCAGGGTGAAGCTGTGATTCGGAGACTGGGTACTGCAGGGGTAGTTAAGGTAAATGAGGTCGGAAGGCTGGGCTTTATCTGAGATGACCTGCACCTTACAAACTGGAGAGTCTGGACTCAGATGCACAATGAAAGCAGAAAACGTGGTGAAGACGGCTGTCCGCAAGCTAAGGAGAGCAGCCTCACATGAGCCCTTCCCGCACGGCCCGAGGAGGAACTCACGCTGCCAGCGCCCCCTTACAGACGAGTGTCCCGGAATGGTCAGAAAATAACTGCCCATTGTGTAAGCCACCGCTATGTGATGCTTTCTTTATACAACAGCCTCGGAAAACCAGCGAGGAGGGCAAAGCTTGGATTCCAGAATCAGGAACCCTCAGGTCTGTGAGACAGAGCCAGGGACTCAGTTTCTGTGTGCTTCTGCCCCCAGCTTTAAAATGAGGGTGTGCATGCCCCACAGACATGTTACAAGGACCGAGTGAGAGTGTGGTAGAAAAGCCCAGACACAGCACTTGGTAGAGGAACTGTTCGGCCAGAAATGTTGGCCTCCACCACACCACATCCTCCCAGCCAGTCCTCTGGCCTTGTGCTTGGCTTGGGTATGGAATGAGCCCCAGGGGTCCCTTCTCATTAAAGGTGGAGCCTGTGGGGGGTGCATGGGACCCGGGGCAATCCGGGGCCCTTGGGCCTGGTCCTCACAGGAGGGAGAGAGAATGATACCAAAGCCGGAGTCTGCTCCTCACTCCTGTCTACTGTCAGAGGAGGAAGTGGCTGCTCAGTCCACACCTGCCCAGTTCCCCTGGTCCTACTGTGTCCACGTCCCCCTCTTGCTTCTTCCAGGGACATCTGCCATTGATTTGGGGCTTCTGTGAATCCCGCATCTCATCGCGAGGGTCTTCATCACATCTGCCAAGACTGTGTCCACATCCGGTCATATATGCAAGCTGGCGGGGGACTATTAGGAAACAGACCCGTCTTTTGGCAAAACCCCATTTAACCTGCTATAGGGGGTCCTTACACAGCAGCTCTGTAAATATCCCCTGCTCCTGGGTACTGACACTTAGACAACCAAGCAGACTGCACTGGTACCCCACGGGAGGCAGAGCGTGGATGAGAATACAAGCAGTCACAACCCGCAGGGCCATGCCTGCCCCCCACCCTTGCTTTGCATTAAGCAAACTGTGTAAAGCCTCCTGAAGGGCAGCATTTCCGTTTGGGCCACGGGCAGTCATGGAGGAAAGATTGAGCTGTTTTCCCCAAGATACCGGCCCTACAAGAATTATGATCTTTGAAACTGACAGCTTTATGTTCTTGCATTATGTCTGCATTCACAACGAGGACTTTCCCTTCTCATATTTAACTTACATTGGTAGGAAAATCTTTGAACTAGTCTTCTCAAGCTTAGTGCCAAATATTGTAAAATTCAAAGGCAGAAAAATATTGTCACTTTCCTCCCCAGGTTTGCCCCTTTTGTTTTCTTGCCTACATTGATTCACATGCAAACAAAGATGTTTTAGGGGAAAAAATGAGAACCAAGACCTGTCATGTAAAGGTACAAGATCCCAGTGATGAATGTGACTGTACTGTGTACCTAAAATGTACCAGTAAACTCAATGACAAAACAAAACAAAACAAAAAACAACGATGTTTCAACAAAACCAAGTTTCCTTTTTTGGGGGGAGGGGCTCTCAGTTTTCATCTTCCAAACCCAAACTAAAACCAAGGTATGTGGTCTCCAGGTCTCCGGTTCGGGACTCTTGATTGCTCTTGTCGTGTACAGATATAGTAGAACTGGGATGTCAAAATTCCATACTTCTTGCCTCAGTTAGGGAATTCTGAAAAAGCAAAAGCAAAAGCAAACTCTGGAGTTTGGAATATAGTTCTTCCCACATAATGGGCAAACAAGTCCCCTTTGTGTCTCTCCTTTCTCATTTGTGAAATAAAGTTGACTACTCTCCTTCAAGCTTCTCGTGAGAGTTAAGACTCAGGCTGGCACGGCAAGCGCTTCATCAAGCATGCCTCCTCCTTCCTTTTCTTCCTGCTTTCCCTTCCTTTGGCCCGTTTCCTCTGTTTTGTCTTTTCACCAAGTTTTCCACTGTTGGCAAACAAACCCTCCCAAGCTGTTTTGAATTCTAGAACAATCCTTGTTATTTGGCGCCGGTTTCTGTATTTTTTAGAGAAGTCAGCCCTTTTCTCCTGACTCTGCCATCCAAATTTTCTGCCCTGGCATCTTTATTGTTTCATTAACTCTGAAATGTGTCTCTGGGATAAGTCTGTATGTAAACAGCAGGCAATTTAAATCACCCAGGCTCTGTTTCACCGGAGGGAGGGGAAGGGCAGGGCTAGGAGAAGAGCGGATGGATGTCTTTAAGCCTCTTAATTTTTAACACTGCGAGTCAAGCTCCTCTGTTTCTGGTTTAAAACGCTCTTACAAATGGCCTGAGCCTGAGGTTGGCCCAGATTTACGCTGCTGGAGAATGTGCAGTGTACCTTCGTCCCACTCTGCATGGGAAAGGAAAGCCGCTTCACTGCTGTCCAGGGAGGAAGACTCGGCCTTCTCCCTGGGAGGTCAGGCCCAGGGCAGGGCAGGGTGTCAGCTGTGGAAGGGGTGCAGGGAGCACCAGTGAGCGCGTCCCTGAGGTGGGGAAGGCCACCCTTCCACTCAGAGTCTGTGGATCGTATCGAGCTAAGCTGGAGAGCTCTGCGTTTGCACCAGCATTGTTCAGAGAGGGTGTTCACTTCCCAGAGCTGCGTGCACAAACTCCCACAGCTGGGGGGCTTATGAACACGGCACAGCTACTCTCTCTGGATTACGAGGAGTGAGTGCAGTGTCCCCAGTTGGACCAGCAGGGCCACAACCCTGCCTGGCGTAGGTAAGACAGTTCTCTGGGTCCAACCGCACCTCCCGGCAGCATCTTGGAATCTCCGCAACCTCTCCCTCGAGACTTTGCGGTGTCGTCTTTGATTTGTCTCTCTCCTTCTTGGGGAGGCACACAGTGCTGGGCACCAGTCCCCAGATCATCGAGGGGCTGACATCTCTGGCCCTTGGAGTCTGCGTTTCCTTGTATTGCTGTCCCTGTCTCGTGCTGTCCTCCCCAGATGCTGTCATCTCCCCTGGGCTTACCCAGCCGAAAGCAATGGTTTCTTCACCTCCAAGCCCAGCTCACCCAAACACACACGTTTTCCTTCCATCCTGTATCAAAGCCACGTGGAGCCTCCCTTTGTAGGACACTCAGTTCCTCCAGGGAGGAAATGATCTCCTTTCTTCCCATCTACCCTTAGTGCTTAAGGAAGTCCTATTGGGATAAAATCCAAGCCAGTGAAATTGTGTGTGTAGACAGAGTCGCAAATGGTGAGGCACAAGACACAATTACTGTTATTACTGTTACCGCTATTATACTATACAGCGTAATTTGAGGTGGCACTGGAAGGGCTTCCTGATGACAGTCATGCTGCAAGCTGGCCACGGGGTTCTGAAATCCTGCTGTTGTGCATAACCAGACGGTTTCCGAAGGTTTACCTTTCAAAGGCAGCGTCCCCATGATTCCTGGAAAGAGTGGCCTTTATCATGCATTGTCCCCAACTGATAGAAGATCTTAGAGAAGCGGGTGAGGAAAGCCACCGTGGGCCAGGGACATAGCTCAGTGGTTCCAGTGCCCGTCTCACAAGTACAAGGTCCTGAGCTCGATCCCCTGGTACCAAAAAGAAGAAAGTCAAGCTTGCAAAAAAGAAATAAATCAGAAAATATTCTAAATAAAGGGCATCTCAAGACTGAGATCAGACTGTGCGGTCCTCCTTCCTGGTCAACGCAGCTCCTTCCCAGCAGTGTCTGTTTTCCTCCCCTGTGCTCCACGGTGACCCCATAGCCCATTACACGAAGAGAAGAGGACTGGATTCACACCCCATTCTCTTCTCTCTTCCAAGGTGCCCCAGGCAGATGTCCTGTTGCTGAAAGAGTCACTGATCCTGAGGTGTGGCTGCTCAGCCCGAGCTCGGACACCGGCTGGAGCTTTAGCGTAGGGCCACCCCCCCCCACCATGGGAAACCCCCGGGGGCCCAGGTGGTGGCCGGCTGGTGACAGTGTGTCCGGCCCACTCCTCTCAGAGTCCCACCGTCTCCTCTGGGACCATGAGCAGGGTGCCTCCAGCCCAAGCAGGGGCAGGAAGCATCCTTTCTCTCTGCCTCAGACTAATTGTAGGACTTACAAGGATTTACTGATTGGCACACGGGACCTAATTTGTCTTTTCATATAAATAAAATTCGCTTCCTGCAATTCCCGAGGATATTGAGGTGGCTAGCTGCCGTTCTCTACTTTCTTACGCTCACATTTTATTTCCCGAGTCTGTTGACTGAGCAAGAGACCAATTCACCACGCTACCGCGTTTTCTCTGTTTTCCTCCCTTCCCCAGCTTCCCTAATAGCAGGCTTGCGATTTTAATTTTTTTAGGATGTGTAGCACATCTAGGGTGTTTGGAAATTACAATTTTTCTATAAAAGCATTTATAGCCATTTGCTTTTAAACTGTTTCTTTCCTAGATGAAAATATTCTATTTCTTCCAAAAATATGTGCCAACTAGAAGTGGATATACTCTTTGATTCAAATGCTTCGCTTGTGCAGAAATTAGCGGTATAAAAATGCTATTACTATCGATATAGTTATAAATTTGCGCCCTTCTTTTTTGCTCCTTTACTGTATGGGTATGGCCTTTGCTATATCATAGCAGAGTTAATTAAGTTTTAGGCTTTTAGCTTAAATCACAGTGCCTGCTTGTTAGGTGTTACTAAAATCGCCTTTTGGTTGCTTTATGTCTTTATCACAATTTAAACTGCATAAAAACAACAACAGATTTAATGTCACCATAAATAAGAACCAGATTTGAAAATTACATCTTGACTTGGAAATCAAAAGCTGTATGTAAACTTTATGTTTTCTGTAGTGCCTGAACTGCCCTCTGTCCCTGACATGATTATTGTGGGTATTTAACAAGGCAAAGGGAAAATCCACCCTGAGGTTGTAGACGGCAAAGTTAATTGCTCCATCTGGGGCGTGGCAGGAGATTGCAAGCTCAGTCCCGGTTGTCACCACGATGTGTGTGGGGCCTGGTGCGCAGGGCAGGCGGAGGCTTCGCCCTTTCTTCCCCGCAGCGGTATCTGTTGTCTCTGCGGAGCCAGCAGCATTGTTCTCTCTCCCAGCTCACTGCACACCTGTTCTCTCTCTGCTTTGCCTTCCTGTACCCCAGGCAGGAAGACTGAGGTCCCTATCTCTCAGCCCTGGACCTACCTGAATCAGTCCAGTCTCATCCTGGAAGAGTCGTGAGCATCGGACGACTTTCCTCACGGGGCTGGGCAGATGGCACAGAGGGGGAGGAGGGAGTATAGAGGGACAAAGAGACCCCCTCCTGCTGCTGCCTTTGGAGGTCGAGAGAGAGGCAATGAGTGGAAAGACCCGGCAGCTTGCGGGAGCCGGAGCAGGCGCGACGCAGCTTAGTGGTGCAGGGACGTGGGCTGAAACCCGGAGCTTCGCTTTTGCTTGGACTGCAGAACTGTACACAGCGCTGTGCTTTCGGGTGGTTGCCCTCCGAAGCCCCGAGGCTTGTAGGTGGGCATCTGGAGGTGACTGGTCACGGGCGTGATTTTCATCAGGGGTCTGCTGTTGGGTTCAGGCCCTCTGTGACGTTGGAGGTGGAGCCTGGTGGAGGAGGTGTCTGGGCGTGGCCTGGAAGGGCCTGTCTCTCTGCTACCCCCTTGACCTCTGGAGCTCTCTCTGCTTCCTGCTGCCATGTCGTGAGCAGCTCACCTCCGCCCTGCTGCCCTGCTTTGGAGCCAGCCATGGACGGAAACACGAGCCACCATAAACCCCTCCTCCAGGTGTGAGTGCTGGTGTTGTGTCTCAGCAAGGAGGGAAGCGACTAGGGTGGGCAGTAACATGGTTATTGAGACCGCTGAGCTGTGGGCCTTTGTGACGACCACTGTGGCCATGTGGGATTCTAGCCATGCAGGTCCAGGGCCAGGCCAGCCCCGTGTCTGGCAGTGGTGGTCACGTTGGCAGCAAGGCCTCTTGTCTCTGCCTTGACTTCACAGAATTTCGAAGATAAAATCATCCCTATGTAAGAGGGCGAGAGCAGGGCCCTGACCGAATGCAGGCGGCCCTTCTGCGAGGTCTCAGCAGAGTGCACAAGCCACACAGTCCTGTTGCTGGGTATTTGTCCAGTAGATTATTTTTGGTTGTGTAGCATCTAAGTCTCGTCTGTTGTTTCCTAATGTCTTGTAATGTAAGAGAAAACCTGCAGAATCGGGGAAAAAATTTACCAGCTACTTCCCCGACAGAGGACTAATAGCTAGTATATATAAAGAACTGAAAACTATTAGAGCCCAGGGCCCCAAGGTGAATGTAATTATTATATATTGCACTCATACACCACCACTAACAGCAAGCTAAAAATAACATCTAGCGTGGGTTCCGTGTTTGCCTTAAGAATCACAGCCCATTCAAGGCAGCCTAGGTTACCTTGTTGGTAAGGGCAAAACTAACCTTCTCCATGAAAGGTGTGGAAATCCTACCCCAGAATCTCAGAACAAGCCCTCGTTTGGACTGGGAGTCTGGGTCCTACCCTGCATGCCCAGTGTCTTGCAAACAATGCAGTGTGGACGCTGAGACAAACTCATATGGAGAAGGCCGGTATGGGTGGTGGCCGAGGTTGAGGGGAGCTTGTGAAAAGTGGGGGTCACTGGCAGCCCATGGAAACCGAGAGGCACGGCACAGATTCTCTGGGGTCCCAGAGGCAGTTGACCCTCCAGACACCAATTTAGGACACCGCACCTAGGGCCGTGAGACACTCTATTTCCTATTTGAAAGCCGCCTGGGCTGTGGTCCTTTGATGTGGCCGCATTAGGAAATGCATACACTTACGATGCTGTTAATGTGAGAAATGAACTGCGTCCAAACTCGGAGAGGAGTGCAGATTCCGCTATTTATCAGACTGGTGTGCGGTGGCTGCTACATGGGGGCCACATTGTCGGAAAATGGATGAAGGTGGGGGAAGCCCACACCTTTAGGCAGGAAGAGCCCCGATGCTGATGGGGGGGCAGAGCAGTTCGTGTGACACTTAGTGAACAGCCTGGTGAGAGGGGCTGTGAGACACATTTCGAAGGAATATAATGCATTTGCAACACAAAAGTGAGGCAAACCAGGAGGACGAGATGTCAAGGACTTAGGGTTTAAATGAGCAGAAGTATGAACAGAATTTAAAAGAGGAAATGTATGAGATGTTCAGCCGCATCACATATTTAAAAAATGACAGTTTTACCAGTTATACCCTTAAATGTTTGTTGGCCATTTGTTAGCTAAGTGCAGATTTCCCTGGTCATGCTTTGCATAGCTGCATTTAATTAAGAAGACTGCAGTTTTTCATCAAGTTTATCCAATAGTCTAGTTTACAATATACAACTTTAATTGTCAACAATCCAACTTTTTGTTGAATTTTTCTATGTATAATTTTCATTATAAACTAGAGGCCCTTTTATTTCTCTAAAACTTATCTTTATTTAAGTATGAAGAAGCATAAACCAAAGAAGAAATTTGTAATCATATCATGAAGATCACTTATTGACATTTGAAACATGCATTACATACAATTGGTAGAAAGTTAAAAAAGTACAGAGATATCAAATCAAAGATTTTTTTTTTCAGTACCAGGGATCGAACTCAGGACCTTGCACTTGACAGGCAGGCTAGGCACTACTGAGCCAAATTCCAGGCCCAAAAGTAAATTTTTAATTTAATTTAATTTTTTGTAGTTCTGGGGTTTGAACCCATACTTTTGCACTAAGCTGTATCCCCAGCCAAATTTTATTTTAATTTTTAGATTTTAAGATAGGGCCTCACTAAGTTGTTAAAATTCCCTGGTTAAGTTATTGCTTGTGATCCTCCTGTCTCAGCCTCCCAGAGTGCTGGGATTACAGGCGTGCAACACTGTGCCCTGCTAGTATTATTTCAGAATTTATGTTTTCAGAATGTTGTGAACAGTCATGTGAGACTGACAGATGGAGATGAAGAGATGTGTAGACAAAAGAAAATACACACAGGGTCCCTGAACTTCCCTAGATAGTGTTCATAACACTACAGAATGGGACCTAAATGTTTCCACTTTCTTATTGGCAAGTCTGTTTATTTTCCTTCACAATTTTATCAAATCTCAGAAGCCATAAATATGGAAGAATACCTCCCAAAACTCTAAAACTCAAGGTCCTCTCATCCTAGGGAAATATGTAGAAATGCAGATAGAAATTGATGAATAAAATAATTTTGGGCAGTATTACTTATAAGGAGGAAACCCAAATGCCTCACTTGGGCAGTTAACATCAGTTACTGCATAGCTGTATGAAGACATATTGTATAATTATTAAAATGTGTGTAAAGAGCGCTTAATGAACTAGCTTATAATATCATTTCTTGTTTTTTGGTTTTTTTTTGGTGCTGGGGATTGAACTCGGGACCTTGCACTTACGAGGGAGGCGGTGGAACCACTCACTGAGCTAAATCCCCAGCCCCTATAATAAAAATCTAACCAAAACTAAAGCAGGATGTAAAATGGAACACAAAGTATGACCTCATGTGCAGAAGAAGCACAAATTAAAAAAGCGTAGCACAGTTTATGTCTCAGAATAATTTCCGAGAGGTAAGATGGTGTGTCTCCCAGTATTTCTAGGGTACAAAGTGGAACAATATTGTTAAATAAAACTTGCAAGAGTCAGGTGGATTTGGACTGAGTTCCCACACCAGTCTCCCATGACAAAACCAAATGGAGTCACTCATGCTGGTGCTAAACAGTACCATGCCCAACTCAGACTGTTTATCTCACCTGTCTAGGGGAAGGGAGGAAGAGGGAGAGATTTGTTTAGTTCATTAATTTTATTGATACATTGTAGGTACACAATATGCTGACATTCAGTATTGGGATGTTGGACCTTTACATGACAGATCTTGGTTCTTATTTTTCCCCACTCCCCTGCCCTCCCTTCACCCCCTCCACTCCTCCCTATTTACAGACTTTGTTTCCTTTTCTCATATTTATCCCTTTCCTCTACCCCTCCCTCTTCCCCTTCCCCACTGGACCCTTTCTTCGTATTTCACATTATCTATTATACATTTAGATCCTTATGTACACTTTCAGTTTAAAACAGAAACACTAAACCAGCTGGAAGAGAGGTGAGGTAGGACTCGCAAAGACACTGGTGTAGGCAGACTTCACAAAAAAACCCTCAGTCGCATGAGAACTAGCACAAAGAATCAACAATTGGGATCTCATCTCATTAAAAAGCCTCTGCATGGCAAGAGAGACCACCGGCAGTGTGAAGAGGCAACCTGAAGAACACACACTTTTTATTCTTTATTTATTCTTTCTCCAGGCTTTTCCTGTCTCTGAGCTAGCTGCAGAGCTGAATTCTCTGACTTCTGGTTCTGAGAGCTGTGGGATTGCAAAACTGTCATTTGCCCACATGAACTCTGTCAGGGTTGGGACTGTGGCTCTGTAGTAGAGCAGGTACCTGGCATACAAGAGGTCCTAAGTTTGGCCCCAGAGCCCCTAAAGGAACAAAATCCCCTGCCAACCTTGTTAAATTTATTTCATCACAATTTTCTTCTATCAACATCATATATTGATTTTTGTTAAAATCCATACTTAACTCTAAGGAGATTTCTATTGAAGAATTTCCCTGAGGGCCCAATGGGCCCCAGACAGTCATGGCAGGTGGCAGCCACCAGGAGACCAGGGTTGAAGAGGGCTTTCCTGAACCTTGCTGCTGTGTCCCTTGGTTGTACTTGCACAGGGTGACACAGCTGCCAGCACAGAGTAGTCACATCACACCATTAAAATTCAGGTCAGAAACTGGCATAGCAAGCTGTCTTTTCTGAAATATTGAATCTTTAATTCAAATTTCAAGTGGTAATAAAAACGGGCATGAATTGCCTATATCACCCACCTCTCTTCAGATCTCAATCACTGTCAGCTGTCCCTGGGGATGAAGAATGAAATAAAAAAAAGATCACCTTTCCTTGAGTTTTAATAGACACAGAGGAAAGATCACTTGCTTGTGTATGCAGAGACTATGAACGAACAAGGATGGGCGAGATCAAAAGCTTTAGACTTTGATGCAGTAGAAAGCTTTCTGTTTAGCCAGGGGTAAAAAATCTGTGTCTACTAAGATGACTTTTAAAGGGGGCTTCAAAAGTCTAGAGCAAACACAAATCGAAAGTTCAGGACAGATATACAAACAATCATAAACACAGCTCCCCAGTCCCCGACTTATACTTTCTGTGTAAATAAATGATAAAAGCCACAATCTTGAATTTTCTTCAT